AAAGTGCAGTTGCCTGCGTGCGTCACGGCCGCGAACCGCGACGGCTCTCATGATTGACAGGAAATAGGCAGAGAAAGTACCTTTTGGAAATCCAGCCGATCCCTCAGTACGAACAGCGTCAATCAACGTCCAAGAGATACAATCCCGGATATGATCGCGGGATGCGTATGTCCCTCGTCTTGTGGTACTGCGTATGTAGCGGGACTTAAGATGGCGACGGCTGAATCCGTCGCCAAGCAGGGCGTTGGCCCAGTGAGATGAGCCGAAGCTCAAGCTAACTAACCTCGCAGGTCCGTTTGGTGCTTGCCTTGTTAATTAGCAGACTCGCAAGATCTCTCAGCGCTTGATTCTAACTCCCCAATGCACCTCTCGATGGTCAGCGGGAATAGAAGATTCACAAGTCTTTGTGTACGTCTTATCGGTCCAAGGGACAGCTCAAGAAGCAGGAGGAGGTGAACGAACTGTGTGTTACGGCGCATCGCAACAAGACTCTCCCACCACCGCGCATGATCGCCACGAGCGGCCATTTCGTGCAACGAACTGGTCACTCGTAGCGCCCTCGTTTCTTTGTTAGCGGGACGGCGTGAACTGTGTATTTTCACGGGATCGGATCAAATTATTCCCTTTTTATACACTTTTCATTCAAGAAAATTGTTCTCAAATAATAAGCATACATTTTTCTCGATTGAACTATATAAGATTGCGTCGTTCAAATAAGTTTTTCTTCCTTTAACGCGATACAATCTCATTTCAAGATTTTCACGTTGAAAATAAACGTATTTTCAAAAGGAGAATATTCTTTTTTTTTCTGCGCAGGTTTACGTTCCGAAACATTTTCTCCGGGGGAAATTTTACTCGAGAAGAATAGATCGGAAACGCTCAAAGTGGTTTCGGCATAGCCATCGAGTAAAAGATTCCTCGGAGAAGATTTTTGAACTGACTCCAAATGCACGTTCCTAAGCTCACTAAAAAGAAAAATCACACAATGTTGCAACCATTCTGTCCATCACTGTACAATTCCTTTGTGGCACAAGAAATAAATAAATAAATCCTTCGGCCGCGACTTCATGCGTCATTCGATGCTAATATGATTTATATTTTCCTTACACTGAAAAACGTGTCGAAATTAATGAGACTCGGACTCGCGGACAGACGTTGAGGCCTACAATGCGCTTTCTGCGTCTCGAAACATCCTATTTTGTATAAACAAATGAAAGCGCTTAAAACATTTGCCGACAACGTACGATTATACGATGTATAACATACAATTTATCAACTCCCGAGGCGAGAATCTGTTTTACAAATGTTCAAAAGAGAAGCGCAGTATATATACTCGTAGCATTTAAATATATTAGAAAGACCAGTGCTCCAAGAGCTGTTTTTTGAAGAAATATGACTTTGGAGCACGTTGAGGATACGTCTAACCGCAGCTCATGAGCCGATTATAAATTCGGATCATTCAAACACGGAAAACAACAATAAAATTGAACATATTTCGTATTTAATGGTGGCTTACGTGACTTGGATTTTCGCCTCGGGCTTGCACAAATTTTTTTAAACGTATTTGCACCCTCCGAAAGGACTTCTGTTGCTGGGACAAAAAATATTCTTGACGCATTTATGTTTCTCACAACCCCATTTGGTATAAAAACAATATCAAAATAAAATCACTAATTCCTATTCTCCTCTATCGAATTAAAAAAGATTGACTTACTATATCGAGACAAGAGTAACGTATATAAATGTAATATTCGTGCGTTTAGAATAAATTTTCCCTCCCTCTTACGCACGAAGTTGGCACCACGATATTTGACAAAAGACGATACACACTATCATTTTATTCTAGATTTTACACTTTTTCATTTAAGATTAAAATATTCCTTTCTCTATAATAAATACAACTGGCGCTGTATCGATCCTATTTTATGATACATTGAAGTGTAACAGCATTGGATCCGGAAATTGTTTCTGTGGGTGTGTTGACTACAAAATATTGTAGACTACAATAGAATGTTTCTAGACGCAGAGAGCACACTGTAGATTAGGCTTAGGTGAACCCGCGGCGACTCTTTCGTCTCGGTACGCGGCAGCACAGTCTTGTCGAAGACGTGTACGGAGAAAAGAGACGATGTAAGCGCTGCTGGTGTTGCACCGAGATATTTCTTCGCCTAACAATACATCACTTTATACATATATATTATATATATATATATTTGAATCAATGTTGAGAGCCGGATTCAATATCACGACGTTGCTATTTCAGACGTGACGTTTACCTTACCGTCTCTCCTTTTTAAGGCTCTACCACTTATTGAATTTCCGCGAGAGTCGGAATATTTTCGGAGATGCACCTTAGAAGAGAGACGCGTCCCGCCTCCGGCGGATTTTGTTACCCTCTTTTCACCGTCGCGGGCCTTGTGTCCCGGCGAGACTTTCATTACCGAGATATCCTCCTTGAGATTCTCCCGTCGCCTCCTCGAAAAGCTCCTCCGTGAATCCGCGCCGGCCATTCGCCGAGAAATCGTGCGCAAAATTCGAAGGCATCGCCGCGCGAAAATTAACGGCGCTCTTTTAAAAGGAGAAGTCTCTCGCCCGGTTAATCCCGCTCGCGCCCGATGGGGCGTTCTCTCTCTCTCTCTCTCTCGCGTTCGTTTTATTTAATTTTCCCCTATCCTGGGCGTGACGAAAGAAATGTACTTTTGAAAAATACAGAGCGGAATAAAAGCCGAAGGATTAAAATATTATACACGTGCCAACTCGCGCGGAGTATCTCCGGCGAGCGAAATTCCTCTCTCCTTAATTTCTACCCCCCGGACAGAAAAGGCGTACGGCCGTCCCGTGTGCGCGCGCGGGAAATTTTTTCCAAGGGGGCGGAGGAGGACCGCGCGCGAGCACGTAGACGAAGATACCCCAAATATTTCTCTCGCAGAGAGATATTCTCAGGCGGAGAAAGCCTCCACCTCGGTGATTGCCCCGGGTAATGAATCTCGGCCGAGAGGAGGACGGAAAGGGAGGCGGTAAAAAAAAAGGGCCGCCGAGGAAACGAGCGTTCCGAAACGCGAGGGGGGTTCCGCGACCCTCGGGCGGGGGCTGCCGCCTCTCGTGGAGACGTCAGACCGTCCGCGAGCTCCGTGCCGGCGGTCGCGCGCCGAGAGGGCGGCGACTCCGCACGCGTAAGTCTCTCACCCGCGGTAGACGGTGAAAATGCATTTGCGCGTTGTGGACGCAGCGCACGCAGTTGCGGTGCACGCGACGGGCGTGCGTTGCACGTGCGAAACGCTGGATGGTGTTGAGGAGAAGGTAGCCGGGGAGGGGATGTAGGAGGTTTGAGGTCGCATTGATTTTGTCTAGACAGGGTGGAGACTGCTCTCGTGGTATCGTTCTCCGCGTCCGCCGGTTCGGCACGGTCTGTCCGTCAGACCGGGGCGTGCTGCACGTCGGGGATGCTCCGTTTCGCTGCCGCCGCGCGTTGCCACGCGGCCACGGGCCCGGCCCCAGTTCTCTGTCGGACCGAACGACGGACGTGCTTGACGAAATAGTAATTATTGGCTGTTGTCGTCGCGCAAAATTGCCGGGAGCTCCCGTTTATCGCGACCCTTATCTCGGCGCGACAGCACGCGAGGGGCGCGTTGCGGATGAACGTGAAAAATGCGGCGGCGTTAAAACGCTATTCGAAAAACAAAAGCAGTGACTCGTGCAGCGCATAACAGCAAATCATTTCTTCCGTTCCTCGCTCTTATTTCTTTCTCCCTTTTTTTTGCAGGAACGCCCTCGACCCCGATAATGCCAGGCGGTACACCCGGCACACCATCCTCCAAAGCGAAGGTAAGTCCGTTGAAACTTGCTCGCGTTCTTGGTATGTTTAGGTAATCCATGCATATTAATTTTGTCCCGCAGGAGAAGATAATGCTGCGGGCGAAAGTCGTGGTGGCACTGTACCCTTTCCGAGCCATCGAGGGCGGCGACTTGTCCCTTGAGAAGGTACGGACGAAGCGCGGTAATAAATATCGAGGAAAGCAAATGTTATAAACTATTACGCTATTTTATACAGTATGCATTAAAAATTGGACATAGAATATTCACTGTCTGTGTTTTCGCGAGTCCAGGGTGCGGAGTACGAGGTCTTGGACGATTCCCAGGAGCACTGGTGGAAAGTTAAGGACGAGAATGGGTACATAATTGCCTTCGAAACAGCTTTGGAAATTGCCCCTCGCGGCTTAGCCTCTTCCGAAACTTGTTCGCGACAAACGAGTTAGCCGCGGCGTCTTATCTATGTATTTATTTTTTATCTCGCGCGTACCGCGCGGCGGCGGCGACGGCGGCGGCGGTCGGCCGGCAGTCGTGAGAAATAATCGGTTGCACGGCGTGCGGTTCGCAAACAGTAATCTTAGCGGTACTCTTGTATAATCAGCGATAATTAATCGCGATAGCCGGATTGTTTACTTACGCGGCGAAATACGCACGCGCGGTGAAAAAAGAACCGGGTTTGCAGAAAGTTATACGGCGCGCATTTAATTGCAGATCGATCGGCTATATCCCCAGCAACTACGTTAAGGAGAAGGAGCTACTGGGGCTGCAGAAATACGAGTAAGTCTGGCGCATAATCTTTTCCCCGCGAGGCAACCGAATGTAGTATCTCGCGGATACGGCAACACCTTGTTGCTCTTCCCGGTTTTTCGAGCCAGCTCAGTTTTCCACCGGAACGGCGTTCTGTTAGAACGCTCACATAAATCAGGCGAAAACACTCGTACTTGATAAGGATAAAAAAAAAAGGAATGATTCCATTTGCCGTTGTAGATGGTACGTAGGTGATATGTCAAGGCAACGCGCCGAGTCGCTGCTGAAGCAAGAAGATAAGGAGGGCTGTTTTGTCGTTCGTAACTCCTCGACGAAGGGGCTTTACACGCTCTCACTCTACACGAAAGTGTAAGTTAATGGCGCCGACGATTACGAGTGGCTTCACCGCTGACTGGCTCTAACTGCAAATTGTTTCGCGCCCTCTTCGCCTGCCTCTCCCCGATAATTTATGTTTTTCCGCTCTGCCCGCAGGCCACATCCCCACGTGAAGCATTACCACATCAAACAAAATACCCGCGGAGAATTTTACTTGTCGGAAAAACACTGCTGCGGCTCCATTCCCGATCTGGTTAATTACCACAGACACAACAGCGGCGGCCTGGCCAGCCGACTGAAGACCAGCCCCTGCGATCGTCCTGTGCCACCGACTGCCGGCCTCAGTCACGGTTCGTAAAATTTTCTATACGTGCAACTTTCTCCACTCCTTAATATATGAAATATATAAAACGCACGCGTCAAGTATATAGAAACGACTTTTCTCTCTCTCTCTCTCTCTCTCTCTCTCTCTGTCTCGGCAATACGACGCTACATAACGGCGGGCGGTTTTTTCACAGACAAATGGGAGATCGACCCAGCGGAATTGCATTTGCTGGAGGAGCTCGGGTCCGGTCAATTTGGAGTCGTGCGGAGAGGAAAGTGGCGCGGCTCCATCGATGTCGCCGTGAAGATGATGAAAGAGGGAACCATGTCCGAGGACGACTTTATAGAGGAAGCTAAAGTAATGACGTAAGTCTCAATCTAGTTTCGGTATCGAGACTTTTGACCAACAACCAGCGGGCGCACTCGGACCTGGAATCCTGTCAATTAAATCGAAAACTTTACGACTTATTCTCCAAGTAATGTCGGTAGCTCTAGTTAAAACGCGTTATTTATTATAACGAGTTGTATTTGTTCATGCAGGAAACTGCAACATCAAAACCTAGTCCAGTTATACGGCGTTTGCAGTAAGGATAGACCGATATACATTGTTACGGAATACATGCGACATGGATCTCTTCTCAACTACCTCCGCCGTCACGAAGCCTCATTAGGTGCAAACGTTGGCCTCTTGTTAGATATGTGTATACAGGTAATGCAAGTTTCGTCCTGCAGGCGATAGAACACACGGCCATCAAACGGAATGCCGACCTCGGGATTTCCCGAATCTTTTGTAACACTTGTTTGTTTCTTTGTTGTCAGGTTTGCAAAGGAATGGCATATTTAGAGAGGCATAACTATATACACAGAGATCTTGCAGCACGAAACTGTCTGGTGGGATCGGAAAATGTAGTAAAAGTTGCAGATTTTGGTTTAGCTAGGTAGGCCACTTAAATTTTTGTATCCTTACGTTTTACGACATTAAAAGGACCCATTGAGACAGTTAAAAAGATAGCGAGTATTGAAATTTAACCGATTTTGGATTTTCAGGTACGTACTCGATGATCAATATACCAGTAGCGGTGGCACTAAGTTTCCCATCAAATGGGCGCCGCCGGAAGTATTGAACTACACGCGCTTCAGTTCGAAATCGGATGTGTGGGCATACGGAGTGCTTATGTGGGAAGTATTCACGTGCGGTAAGATGCCTTATGGTCGCCTAAAGAATACGGAAGTCGTCGAGCGGGTGCAGCGAGGAATCATACTGGAAAGACCAAAGGCGTGCTTCAAGGAAGTATACGAGGTAAATTAGCGAGAGACATACATATCTCTCTCTCTCTCTCTCTTTCTCGCTCTCGCTTCCACTGTCGATCTCATCAGAATCGTACATGAATTGTGACTGAAATCTCAGGTGATGCGTAAATGCTGGGCACACTCTCCGGAAGTACGACCGTCCTTCCGCGCCCTGAAGGAGCAACTGATTAGCGTTTCCCAAGGATTGGTCAACGATTGACTCAACCTGCTGCGGTGTATGCGCCTGTCCTCACCATCCTGCCGGTCGATCCGCTCGACGGCGAAATCGTCGTCGCCGTCGTCGGAGCGATCGCCCTCCGCCGGTCTACCCACGTCGAATCTGCCGTACAATTCAGCAACGTTGCCGTCGCGCAAGACCCGCGCGCCGGCCTCCCCGCCTTCCGCGATCGATTTCCCTCGTCGTTTCTCGTCGACCACGTGCAAATCAAAAAGAGAGGGCTCCTCGTCGCCGAGTACACCCGGGCATAAAGCTAGTCAACAAAAACCATCCTCGAGCTCGACTAATAACGTGTGTGACGTTTGCAGTTCCTACGGACACCCGTGGATCGAAATATGCAAAGCGATACGAGCCACTAAAGGTAAATGAGTAAAACGAGTGCGTGTACGCCTGTGCGTGTACGTGTAATTGAGCAATTTACACTTACTCTCCGTTGCGACTATTACACTATTAGAGAGCCGTACCCGTAATATGGAGATGTGTGATTCTAAAACCCCCGTAAAGCATTAACGCTCACCACCTTCGTCTCACCACCCTCTCCTCTTATTCCTACCCCGTGTGCATCTCCGAACGTCTCTGGGCGAATGTTCCGTACGTTACGTGACTCTACTCGATACCGGGATGCGTGATACTACATGTGTTTCACATACTATTTTTCCCATATAATTTTTAGACTTTACTCTGTATCGTTATAAATACATTTATACATAGAACAATAGTATTTATTGATGGCCTTTGCAACAGATGCAATATTCAACTTGTGATTCCGCTTAGAATAAATCATTTTTTATTATTATTATTTTGACAAACAGCGACACAACTTCGAATCAGAAATATTGTTTCTGCTTAATAAACCGATTTAATAAGTAAGCATTCCGTTTGTTTACACTTCACATTGTAACTAATAAGCAAAACTGCGAGGTAGAAGGTGTAGGAGATTAAAAAGAAAAGTGCTTACGTTTTATTCTGGCGAATCGATCGAATGTAATTCTTAATCTGGAGTTAGCCTAACTGGACAGCCACGAGTGGTAAGTAACATATAATTCGCATTACTTAACGAGTTAACTCTTATTGTAAAATCCATCGCGAGTTTATAAATTATAGACCTTGTACGAAATGTAAATACAATTGAATTGCATACACAATAAAATTACATAGTTTAAAATACACAGCTGTGGATGTCGATAAACCAAAGAATGTCGGCCCGCTGAAAATCTACATTTCAAGGCTTCCGCGACAAATGGTAGGAATAAGCGTTTTACAAAAAAGCGTATATGTGATATAGGTCGCGTTTATTAAAACTGTTTTCAATTCGTTTACAAACTTCCTTCGATGCGAATACAAGACTTTCTTTTTTTTTTTGTGCGTCGATCCAACGTGAGAAGCGAAACTGTCGCTCGACTATCGAGCTTTCGAGGACATGTAGCACTGGTATCGTAAACGTAACAAAAAGGGATAAGTACTTTTTTGCTAATACATAATATTTCTACCTAAATTACATTCTATCTTTATAGAAAAATGATAAGTCTAATAGGTTTTGGCCACTTATGCACGCTTACAGCAAAAGGCATTCGAGATGCAGGAATCTTTTTAAGACTTCTTACGGTAAGTACTCGAAATCTTTGTTTCTTTTTTCCTGAAACAAAAATTAGGGAAGGATTATGCGTGCCCCCTTTTTGTAGTAAGCAAAAAGAAATTATCTAGACTTATTTCGTGGGTATCGTGGACGTTAATGACGACGTCGATTATTGGTTTCTAGAAGTTGAGCACGCGTCAAGTTACGCCGGATAAATTTGTGTAAGTATTAATTATGTACATACGGAGGAGGAAGGTAGGAGAGGATACACGAACGTGGTCACATTCTTCTGCATGAATCCCAATTCCGCCATGCAAGTGTAGTCACCCATGTCTTCCCACTCAAGATCCTTTATCTCCAGATCGCCATTAGGTAGAACGGTGTGTCTCGTGTGCGTGGTGGGAGTGATGGTGATGCCATGGACATCTAACCAGAACTGATAGGGCATCGGTTCACCCACGACCCTGCACGGAAGAACCACCGTGGTCCTTTGTTCCGCTATTCTGTATGGCTGGTAGAGGGTGAATACGGGTGGTCTCTCGTTGTCGCATTTATCGCTCGTCCCTGTAAACAGTCACAACGGCATTAGACAATCCCTGCGCGCAGGCAACGCCTGTTCGGTCCGGCTGTGAAATATCGTTGTCTCACTAACCGTTGACTAGGATCGCCCTCACCGACGTACGTACGACGTTATTAGACACGGACACGCATTTTACGAGACCCTGATGCTCAGGTTTGACGCAGTCGATCACGTACGTTGATATGACCTGAGTGAATCCATCGTTAGTTCTCGGCCCGATTTGCGCGTAATGCTCGTCCTGCGTGAGGAAGGACAAACAAGGGGTTGTACAAGGAGCGTCGCTATATAACGGTCCGTAAATCGTATCGAGGATCTCTTTCGGAAGCGTTAATTGTCGTAGACTGACCTGCCTCTCCGCGTCGTTTCCTAACAGCCAGTGGACCTCGGGCGGCGGATTTCCAGTTGCCTCGCAACGCAGCTCGAGGCGGTTCCTGAATGAATACGAGCGGAATGCGATCACGTTACTTCCGCGTCTATGTGTGCGCACCGAAGCTATTTTATATCCAACTGTATACTTACCCGGCGGTGACCTCCATGTAATCCGGCTCATTGCGCAAAGTTTTGATCCAAGTCAACGAGAGCGTATTATTATTCTAGAACCGAAGGTGTCGGAAATATTACACAGGGAGAAGGAATGATAGATAGCGAAAGGCGGGGAAAGAAAGTTCGGCTGTCGACCGCCTCTCGTAGAACTGGAAAATCGACGGCCCGTCGAGCCGAAGGGAACGAGAGGCCGGCACGGCCGATTCTCGAGAGACTTGTACCGATGCAGATTAACTTTGACCACGGTTCAACTTACCTTTTATCTCTTTCTCGTTTCGGGAATTGAAAAAATGATCAAGACTCAGTTAAGAGGGATTCAAATTAATCCGCATTGGTAGAACTCTCTGGGCATAAGGGCCTCTTTCACCAAGTTCGGTTGGATTAACCGACGGTTAAAATTTTCAGGGTGCCAGCAGAAACGAGGTGATGCAACGTTGGTGAACAGTTTGATTGTTACTCCGATGTACATTCCCTCCTCTCAGCTGTACGCATCCCGTATCTGTTTGCGCACGCCAATAGAAATGGTTGCCTGGTCATAGACGAAACGTTCCGAAAATCTCAATAAATCGTGCTAGAGAGAGAGAGATCTTTAGATTAACCGTCAGGTTGATGAAAGAGGCCCTTAACCCGGCGAGAAATGACTCGTCGATCGATGGCGAAACGATGTCAAATCGACCCGATCGGAATTGTTCAATGATTTCCTAGATTTCCATTGTGCTTCCCAGGGAAACGACATCGGCACCGTCAAGCTGACGTCGATTCGGCCAGAGTATATTTATGGAAATGCTTGGAATGGATACCGATCGGAATTGTTCAATGATTTTCCAGGTTGCTATTGGGTTTTCCAGGGTAAGAGAAATAACTTCGATCGAAATCCATTCCGAACATCTCTATGTTAGATACCCAACATCGATCGACGAATCATCTCTCACTGGGAATCTGCATTTAAGACTCGCGCCCGTTCGCAGGGTCGACGGCGAGCTCGTGTATGTATACCTTCTTCTTGGGGGGCGACCGCTTGAACATACTGTACTTGAATATGTCCAACACGGTGAGCTGCTCGGCGTTTAGCCGCGACGATGCGTTCGCCAGGAGAGGCGCGAACGGGTAACGGTTTCGGTCGCGGGGGAGTACATTGGCCATGGCGATCACGGCGACGAACGTCAGGAGGTACGCGAGGTTCGAGAGGCACGGCATCTGGAAAAAAAAAAGGAGAGAATATCAGTCGCGACTTGGGGCGCATCAAGTACGAGACACCCGGGGAACCTTCCTCTCCCACCCCCCACCCACCCCTTCCCGCGAGGAGGCAGCGAACGAGAAGGGCGCGACTTTTCGCAAACCGCGTCGTGTAAAATGTTAGGAATTATGTGTAACGTTAACCAGGAGTCGACGAAATTTCACCGGGGGGAGGCGCGGACGATGAAGCGCGAAGGACCTCGCGCTGAAGAAATATTCGTGACGCGCGAGACACGTCGCTCGGATATTTCACGTGGTGGCTCATGGAGTGTCTCGCTCTCTCTCTCTCTCTCTCGCTCTTCTCTCCTCTCTCTCTCTCTCTCCCTCTCCCTCTCCCCCCCCTCCTCTCTCTTTCTCTCTCTCTCGCGCGCGCGCTCGCTCTCGTTAAGCGGATCCTCCCGAGTCGCATCAATCCTTCGGCCCGGAATCGATTTTCCTTAACGCGGTCAAGGCGGGCCGCCGTTTATCGCGACACGACCCTTGCCAGAGCGAGCCAGTTTACGCTCGCCGCGATTTCAGGTAGGGCACAAAGCTCATAATGCCGTGACGATAATCTCATTGTGGCCTGTTCGTCGCTTAAAAATGAGGCCCGTACCGCGAGTTATCTATATCAGTCGTTAATCAGAAATCGGGGCTGTACAGTGACGGACAGAATGGTTGCGGCGCTCTTTTTTTTTTTTTTTAATGAGTTTAGGAACTCGAGAAGTGGATCGGAAACGCTCAAAATGGTTTCGGAATGGCCATCGAGTAAAATATTCCTCGGAGAAGAAGATTTTGAAACGTAGCCCGCAATCTAAATGCCTGGTCCTCAACTTATTTAAGTGAATTACGTGTCGCGACCATTCTGTCCATCACTGTCCAGTAAACACCAAAGTAACAGTATTCAACATCAATATGTTGTATTACATTTACATTGACGTCTTGTAACTGTTACTTTGGTGTTTGCCGGGGTGCCCAGCGAGAAATGACTCGTTGATCGATATCGAATCGACACCGACTAATTGAACGAATTATCTCACACTGGGTGTACATCAGCCCTTTTTCTCTCAACCCAGAAAGATAAGAGACCCCATTCAGTCCCCCCCCCCCCCGACTTCTGACTAACAATTTATGTGTAAAATGGCTCCAAAAGTAACATACTTTATCGCTTCGCCGTCATTTTGGATGTCACCGCGAGCCCTCGTTCTACTAGGGGATCGCGCTTCTCCGAAACCCCGTTGTCGCGAAATTAAACTTTCGTTTCGGAGCGAGGAATACTCTATTTGAGATTAACGAAGGATACTCTATTTGAGATTAAAGAAGGAATCTTACCGCACCCGCCCGTTTCCAGCATGGCCCGACGTAGAGGAAAAGTCCCTTATTACGCGGTAGACTCCTAATGAGATAGCGGGGGTTTGTGCCAAATAGGCACAATCATTTTTTGGCTCCACCACGAATTTATTGCCCTTGGAGTGAAATTTACTTTGCGGAAAATTCCTCGTTAGACCGTGTAATCGTTGCGAAAAAGAGATTTATGATTAAATTTGGATGTCGAAAACATGCTATCTCATATTAGCGGCTTACGGCTGGTGGCAGAGAGCGGTCCGTAAGCGCTTAAAACTGTATTAAGTCGTAGACGTAAGGCAAGGCAGAGAAAAACTCGAGTCGTACACAATGGACCTCCACGACTTGGGGGCCGATTTCACGAACGTCGGGTAACTGTTGACCAGAGTTCAGTCAACTCCCTATCTTTTTCTATCTTGTTCTCTGAGACTAGACAGAGGATCAATTAACCTTCGGTTAGCAGTTAACCGACCCTTAGGGTCAGAGCGCAAAACGACGTAATAGCTTACGCCAAAGACGTACCTCTGCCTTGCCCTACGTCCACGACTAACGCCCGTCGTTAGTCAGAAGATAGTACAACTGGTAGGTCCACTCCATCATGTTCTAATCTAATATTTATGCATCTGATATTGTAGAATTTGTTCTGTGGCATCTAATATTATATAATTTTTCTGGGCAGACCAATGAGAGAAAAGTTGTATGTGTGGCAGTGTGACTTTGATAAATACGTATCCAGACAGCACACGTGTCTAGAGACCCTGTAATCAGAGACTGGCCATAAAAGAGTTCGTCAAATTCTTGCGAGTGAGAGGTGGTTTCTCTGATTACAGGGTCTCTACACACGTCTAAGGCCTGGTCGCACCAATGTCGCTAAACTTTAACTATAGTTTAATTCACTCTGTCTCGTTCTACGGGAAACAGAAAGGAACGAAGAGTGAATTAAGCTACAGTTAAAATTACGCGACGTTGGTGCAACCGGGCCTAAAAGACGTCATAGAGATAACTTTAAGGCCCGGTTTCACCGATGTTGCTTAATTTTAAGCTTAGCTTGATTCGTTCTTTGTCGCTTTCTGAAGTAACAGTTGGGACGAGACAAAGAACGAATTAAACTGAGCTTAAAGTTAAGCGACGTTGGTGAAACCGGGCCTAAGACTTCGACGTACACGTCGAAGAGACAACTTAATGTCGTCTTAAAGATGTCTTTTAGGCATCAGTAGCACAATATATTGGCGCAATATTGGGAAATAATGGAAATCTAGTATTCCCAATATTGATCCAATATTGTAAGACGCCTTTTCTTATTCGGCCAATGCGTCTATTTAGCAATATTGGTTTAATATTATGTCAATTCAGATAGCAATGCATGTCTAAAAGGCGTCATAAAGTTATCTTTAAGGCACTTTTTAGACGTACATGTCTAAAAAAGAACTCAATGCCATCTTAAAGATGTCTTTTAGACATGCATGCTATCTGGGAATATGCCCAGTGAGAAATGATTCGTCTATCGACGTCGAAATGATGTCGAATCGTCGTCAATTCGACGGCGTCGATGTCGATTCGACGTCGCTTCGACGTCGATCGACGAATCATTTCTCACTGGGTGGGACCAATGTTCTTATTGCATTGTTCAATATTGGCCAATGCACTTCCAATAAAAAAAAATCTAACATTATATAATCATTATCGTGCAATATTTACATTCACTCCAACATTGGCTTTACGTTGGACAACATCGGCCAATGCATTTCCAATATAACCAACATTGGACCAATGTTTAGCCAATGCACTGTACCTATTAGGGATGCATGCTATCCGCGTACACACACACACACACACATCGCTGGATCCTGCCCGAGTGCGTGGCGGTATGCCAAGGGATCGGGACCGCAAAGATCAAAGGGGCCGGCAGCGAGTGGACCAACTAGTTATACTATACGGTCAGAAGTCAGAACTGTATGTCGGTCCTTTTTTCGTCCAGCCAGAAGGGAAGAGGATCGACATAATAATTTCGACTTCTGTGACTCATTGAGACTTGGAAGTTTACGGATTGTTCTTTGTCATCGGCCCCATCTCTCGTTACAGGGGGGGGGGGGGGGAATCTTCCTCCACAAAAGAGACCGCGATCGCTCGAAACTCAAAGAACCGGAAATACCTTCCCGCGAAAGAGACAAGAGCCCTGACTCGGGGACGCGGCGCGGAGGACGAGGGGGGAGAGCACCCTGCGTGTGTGGCGCGGGCGCGCGCGCGCGAATGGGCCGGCGATTAATTTACATCGGACACGGAGGAGATGCCCGTCATTAGCGTCTCGCGTGTCGCCCAGCTGCTTAAAAGAGGAAAAGGAAGTGGCGCGGGAGAGCGAGACGGACGGCGCGCCGAGAGGCTGAGCCGGAGTACACGCCAAGAGGGCCCGCGGTTGCATCAGTCGTTTTTGCCTCCCATCGGATTGGGTTTGCCTTAGTCACCGCGCGATGGGGAGGGGAAGCGGACCGGAACGACACGTGCGCGCGAGAGACACCGCTCCTTTTGACGCGGAGCGATGCCTTCGTTCTCCTCGTCTCTCCCGAAACCGCCGCGGACTAACGCTGTGGATTCGATAGTCCGAGAGAAAGAGAGAGAAGGAGAGAGAGAGGGAAAAATAATCGTCTTTCTTCGGGATATGCATGCACGTTTACAATAATTTGATATATATATAAACCGCTCAATTGAAGGGACACGTGTTTGAGGAATTTTTCGCGACTTGAAAGCGCGGCCGCGCGGCTCGCCGTCTCGGAACAGGCCGAACCGCATTTACACAGGCACGTTTATTTCGGATATGAGGATTCCCGCGGAGGGGATCTCCGAAAGCCCCGAGAGTCCGCGATCGTATCGCACGATAAATCGTGGCGCGCGCGCGCGCGCGCCAGAGAGAAGCGTCGCCGTCAATTATTTATTTCGAAATGTACGCCCACGTGCGCCTCGCTTCTCTGTCTCTCTCTCTCTCTCTTTTTCGTGGACCCCAAATGGAACGGGGGATCGTCAAAGTGACGTTGATATAACTTTCGAGTGATGAATAAAATCGCGGTGATGTCATCGCAGGTGCCATCGTTGCAAGTTTTATATTTCACCCGGGGGGAGAGGGAGAGCGAGAGAGAGCGAGAGAGAGAGAGAGAGAGCTTCTCCCGTGCGAAATGATGATTTCGGCCGAGGTATTCGCGGCGTGACGGACGCAGGAGGAGGGCCCGAGGAGCGTGCGTGACGTACGCCACGTACGGTGGCGCGACTTACCTTCCTGGCGCTGTGGCTGTATGTGGCGGTGCGACGTGCGACAGGCTCCTACGATTTTCCGAAGAGCAGTGGCGGGCCGGCCGGTGGTGATGAGTCCCCGTAGCCGTCCGTAGGTGGTGACGAGAGAAACGGAAGAGAGAAAAAAAAAGGGGGGAAAGCCAGTGCGCCCGGGCAGTTTATCAACCGGTGGAACCGAGGGACGCGACTGAACGGCACTGTAACAGTTATTGGTCGGTCCATTTATACATTTCGAATGTAACAGCGGGCGCCCTTCCCTCATCGCCGATTGGCTGTTATTACCGGGGAGTAGGGCGATAATACCACCGGCAAACAATCGAATTCATTATCCGCCACGGGCTCGTTTGTACGCGCGTAATAGATATCTCCCCAATTTGTCTCCTCCGCCCTCATCTAGGCTCTCTCTCCCTCCCCCCCCCTCCCCATCCCGCGCCCACCCCCTGCGCCGATCGATTTTTATTTCAAAAGGACGACACGATAATTACTTTTATTGAGAGAGCGATCGTATCGGGAAGAAGATGACTCCAATTATCTGGCAGGCCTGACCGCCGCCGCCGCCGCCGCCGCCGCCGCCGCCGCCGTCGCCGCCGTCGTGCGTGGAAATATTTTTATACATTCCCCATACAGCGCCGAAGCTTACAGAAACATTTCAGAAACATTGCAACATTGCAACAATGTTTTCTGAAATGTATAGGGTCCGTATTATTTCGCAGAGCGCCTTTTGCTCCTTCAACTTCTCTCTCTCTCTCTCTCTCTCTCTCTCTCTCTCTCTCTCTCTCTCTTTATCTTTTTTTTTAATTGAAAGCCGCGTATCTCGACGCGCGGTCCACGTGGACGCGGCTCCCGCGGTTGACCGTCTCGGTTTTTCTCTCCAGGAAGGAGAAGGAACCGCGTTGACGAGTTAATTCGACATGCGAGAGGCACGTTCGAGAGGATAACGGCTGCGACGAAACGTTTGACTCGGCGCGCCGCGCGCATTCTCCGCTTTATTTCTAGTCGCCGATAATATTTCGCCGTTATCGTTGAATTTATCTCAACGTCCGCGAATCCGATCCGAACGCGATCCGAAATATGCGGTCAATCGAGCAGAAGACGAGGCCGCGCCCCCCTCCGCCCCTCCCCTCCCCCCGCGCGCGCGGACCGGAAGCGTTTGCGTTCGCGCGAAAAACGGCTGTGCTATGTCGAATTTGGATTTCGTCAGCGATATCGAGGTCGTTGCCTCAAATTTTGCGGGGCCGCGCCGGCCGCGGGGCTGCCCGAAAGGCGCCAGTTACAAAATTATCCTCGGCAACAATGGGGGATTGTTGGGGCCGTTTTAATATGTTTTTGACCGTCGACACGCGCGTTCGATCCGCCGCCTCGGCGAATGCGACAAAACAATTGTTAATTCGCAGGCGTAATATTTCCCCGAGCTACTCCGTTCTTTCGCGAAAACGTTCTGTGTGCGTGTGCCCGCGCGCGTCTGCGTGTGTTACTCTCGCGGTAATTAGCTCCCTTTCAGGGCAACGACGCGGCTCTTTGTGTGACAGATTGCACGAAATGGCCTTTCGTTATGCGCAATTTGAAATAAAACATCTCGTTCGCGTGGGCGCTCGCGCACGCGCGCTCCTACGTGTGTGCGTGCGTGTCTGTGAGAGAAAGAGCGAGAGCGAAAGAGAGAGAGAGAGAGAGAGAGAGAGAGAGAGAGAGAGAGAGAGAAAATCCGACGACGACGTGCGCCTGACGACGTGGAACAATAAACGTGCGTTCGTTAGGATCCATTAAATGAGGAGCGAGCGGATAATTTGTGCGTGTCACGCGTTTTATTAATATTATCTCAAATATTGACACCTTGTACGAAGTTTATCGTTTATCGCCAAGGTGGACATGTTCACACATACACGCGCACGCATTTTTATTTATTATGTAAATTAGTTTACTTGCACGGGAACAATTGTATATTGTGAGAATAATTGTGTACATGTGTGTATATACTGTATGTATATAAAATGTATGTACATATATTTAATACGTGATACATTGAATATTTAATCACGAGACACGGTAGTGTTTCGCGCCAAGTTTAAGCGTAGCTAGAACGCGCGCGCGAGACCGACCGTGTAGTTTGCGCGAGTACGCGAGTTGACAGGCCCTCAGATTTTCGGATCTCAACAACGGCTGATCCGATGCACTTGTAAGTAGGTTCAATCGATAGCTTGGGTTCGATTTGCATAATAAAAGTGTTTTTATTTTTCTCCTACGTGCCCCATACGTGGAGATATTGCAATGCAAAGTCCGAAGTGTAAAATTTTTATCACGAGACATTTAAGAAACGTCGTCGTCGTCATCGTCGACCAGGCAGTGGTGGGGGAAATGTCCTTTTCACATTTTTGACGCAATGCGCTCGCGTACAAATGCGATCAATAGTAGTACAAAGTGAACGTGCAGCAATTGACCGTGACTGTGAATTATGATATATATGTATACAGGGTGAGGAAAAATGCCGGGACCCCTAAAGTATTTCGAAAAATATAATTTTTGTAACGCATCACATAGCAATATCAGTATGACCTTGAACATGTGTTCAATGCAATACAATGTATTCAATACATCAATACAATGTATTCAAATAATTAAATTATATAATCCTTGAGATTGGATGACGCTTATACTTGGCGTCTTTTTTACTTTTTAAGACACAAGTGTGAAATGTCTTCAATGTATTAAGTATTTTTATACTTATAAATAATTTATACTTATAAAAAAGTCAAAGACTAAAGCCAACGGCACACGGTATTATTGTGTCCTACTAGCTGCAGTGTTTGCTGTTATCTAAATAAAATTATATAGATGATTATCTAGATAAAATTTTAGCATTATCTTATCTTTATATAGATAATAAAAATAAGTATTATCTATATCTGCATCTTAGATGAAAGAAAGTGTTATCTTTACTAAATTATCTAAGATAACGTACAGATAATTTGGTTTAGGGCCACATAAAAATACTTAATAGTTACACTATTTAAATATGGATGGCGTTGTAGACCATGCATTTATGTGTGTCATATAACCTATATAACCTGGATATATTCTATATCCCCCTTTATAATTTAAATTTTTCTATAATTTTTTTATAACTTTTTCTACTGTGTTTACATGAAGTCTTAAAAATATTATCTGAAAATTATCTAGATGAATCATCATATAATTTTTCTTTTATCTAGATATATTCAAAACGAAATCATCTTTATCTTATCTAAGATAAATTTATATATTTTTATCTTATCTTTATCTAGCTAATTTTAAAATCATCTATGCACAACACTGCCTACTAGATTGCTTACGAAAGCCAATCAGGATTTAGCCTGAAGTCACCCGATCCACAATAAAACTCTGCATCCTTATTGATTCTCGTAAGCAATCCAGTAGGAAAACTATTATCGTGTGCCGTTGGTCTAAGATACAAAAACCAGGAATGTTCCGTTGAATAAATTTATACTTTGTTATCTAATAGTTAGAAAAAAACATTGTGGACGTTTCGACTTTAACAATAAGTGTTCTTCAGCGCTACAATTCAAACAAAGAATATGTGAATTAAAAAAGTAATTTTAATATGAATAAGATTGCGATTATACGGAGTTAACGTAATATAATGATAAATAAAAGAAGTAACTATGGATTGGAAAGAGCTGGCAAAGGTCAGAAACGCAGTCCTAAGATAAAAACCCGAAGGGTAAACCGCTGACCAAAGTCACGTACACCAATGCTTACTAATGCCCAGTGGACATTACTTTATCTTCTTAGTTTGTGTAATTTGTGCCCGAGCAAGGAGCACAATGATGACCAAACCAATGCCCAAAAATGCTTAGTAATGCTCAGTAATGCCGTAAATCTGTACACCCTCGTGGAAAAATACTTTATTATATAACGAAAAATAGAAATGGTACATTCGTTTTATATAGCTCGTATATGCGATATAAAAAAATATACTACTAATATATAGAAATTGGCATTTTTCATACATCATTCATAATATAATATAAACATATAAGCAAATGTGTTACATCCATATTTTAAATATGTAATTTATATATGTTAGATATATTTTTGTTATGTATATAATATTATATATGATTTTTTAATAGAATTTTGATATACCAAATGTATGAAATATATTAAAAATCAATTAATAAAAGGGCTAAAAGCCTTGACTAGGTGTTAGTGTCACAATATTAAAAGTTTCGTATATTTAAAACATAAAAATTACAAACGTTTCGGTCTTTCTTTAGACCACCCTCAGTGTATGTAAAAACATTAATAGAGTATAAGAAAATAATTTAAATATAAAAGTCAAAGGTTACATAACATAACAAATACAAAAGTCGACTAGTCTACATTTACTAGCTCTTAACATCAAAACTCGCATCTCGACGAAACGATGATCTTTCGATCTGCAGCCGTCAATAAATCCGAATACGGCTCACATTTTATATCCTTTATGTATTGCGTTGCGAGCGTTTTTTAACCTTTGACATTTATATTTAAATTATTTTCTTATACTCTATTAATTTTTTTATATACACTGAGGATGGTCTAAAGAAAGATCGAAACGTTTGTAATTTTTATGGTTTAAATATACGAAACTTTTAATATTGTGACACTAACACCTAGTCAAGGCTCTTAGCCCTTTTATTCATTGATTTTTAATCGTCAGAGCCGTATTCTCTTATGAAATATATTACATGTATCTTTACTTACATTAAAACATTTTTTCCATGGGGGCATCACAATGCTCTCAGCGGTTTATTTCTCGTAAAAATCTTTATCACACGCATAGATTAGAAAGACGTAGTCACGATAAATAGTTTGAATAAGTCGATGAATAACTGCGTCGGACCTGACGCTCTCGCGGAGGACAAAATTTATTTCATTGATCCAATAATATACCATTGGGCATACATAGAGATACGGGACACACCCATAAAGTATGAAGGTCAAGATCCCTCTATAGCATGATTTATTGAGATTTTTGGGACGTCTCGCCTATAACCAGGCAACCATTTATATTGGCGTGCGTAAAAAGATACGTACAGCTGAGAGAAGGGAATATAAATCGGAGCATCAAACTTTTCACCAAGATTGTGTTTCTAACAACGCTGTATTTTCCCAGATCGCAATAATAATTGCAAATTTTTATAAATATAGACCTACGGTAGCAAGAATTCATTAATAACAGATGTTTTTTAAGTCTTTTTTATTAAAAATATATATACATATATTATAAATATACATCTCTAAGTAAACATAATAAACGTGTAAAGTTCGATTAAAACTTAAACTCTGCACAACAATTGTATAAGATCGAATTCAACTAACAATTTACAAGTTTCCTGAGAGTATGGAATAACATATCGCTAATGAAGAACCAATCAGATAAGTAGCAAATATAAACTGGACAATTTATTGGCTGCGAATATTAATTCTGATGGAAGACATATAAACATTTAGAAACATCTATATATTACACTATATAATTTTTACACGTACATTTTGAGGTAGTATCTTTGTTATTATAACAAATTTGTGCTTTTGCAATCACATTTCGCGTTAAGGAAAAACACGAATAAGGTCTCGTTGCGTCAGACAGTCTCACTGCGCGAGATTTGGATAATGAGATCTTAAAATAACCTATGGTCATTTCACGTTGACGAAACCATCTTTATAGATTTTAGACGTTGCTGCGTCTGAGACTTATAAAGCTGGTGGACAAAAATGTGGTAAACGTCCTCGTCTACCTTCGTCTTACATTTAGAAATTTCTGATTTCAGTACCGACCTGAAAAAGGAATTCCAATTACAATTTTCTTACGGAACACGTACCGTGCAATGTATACTTACAAGTCCGTACACAATTGCATGAGATGCTGCGGCATATAATATCGCGCGTGAGGGGAAAGATCTAAAAATGGATCGTCCACATTCGCCGTGCTCTCTGATCCTTCAAACCTGCAATGTCACGAATAGTCGAATTATACGTAGGACGTCGCACATTAAGCGAAAATAATTATATTAATATAATTATATAATAATAATGTGCGGAGCTCACCTTACGACGAAATGTCTGCGGTACTGTCGCGCGACGTCGTTTACCTTGCTCTTCGCCACTTCGAGTACGCCGCGAAATGCAATATCGCGGAAATCGTGTATCTCGTAGTATTTACTGAGCTTATCCGAGCTCGACTCGACGTCCCCCGAATTCGACATAATGGCGGATCTCGTAACCGGCGTATCTATCCAAATGATCCGACATCCACTGTTAAGTAACTCGGTGAACCATGAAACGGCGCCGACTTTGGCCACTTCGTTCCATACGGCTCCGTCGTGCCAATCGTGCACCTTTAAGAGCAACAATCGTAGGGTACATTCTTAACATTTATACTTAGCTTCATATAAATACGAAAACTTTAACGGAGAAAAATACTCGTTAGAAATATCGACTAGTGCACTATCGAATATATTATCATGTGACAAAACTTACGGGGCAAGAGCATAACTTGACGAGCGTTTTACGAAAATATTTCATCAATGCCATGAAAGACGTCGAACTGTTGGTATAAAGAAGGACGATATTGTTGCACGGAGGATTACCGTGGCCGATTTCCTTCTCATTATCATACTCAATAATATCAGTGGGTTTGAGACAATTGGAATCATCGTGTTGCGGGTTTACATACAAATTGATTTCCTCCTTTCGGATACGCAAATGACGCCGGAAGCATAATATTCCAATTACCGCCGATACGAGTAATACAGTGGCAATAACTGGTAACAACAGGTACGAACTTGCGCTCAGCAACGTGTCTGGGTGTACTTCTGGTTTAACAGTTTCGACGTGTCGCCAAGACTCGAAAGTTTGCTCGCAGTCTACAAATGTAATTTACAACGACTGTTATTTCGCGTCTAAACGATAAATCTGTTTGCAAAATTAATATTTACACGCACAAATTTAAACTGTTTCTAATATGCCTGATGAAATATGTCAATGAAAAAAAGCCACTACTATTAGCCTATTAATTCGTTGCGATATTTCGTTTCCATTCTTAACTAATACTTACGCATTACCCACATACACGGCGTGTATTTACTTTGTGTTGGAGGGTTCCATACAGTACCAAACGTACATCGATTGTCAATCACGTTATACAGAAAACAAGAACTTGTAGCTTCCGCTTCTAATTGAAAATTACACCTTATATTCTTCTTATATTTTCCTTTTTCTGTCTTCACCTGTTTGAGAGTTTTTAATATAATTTACATACATACCTGAATACAGATAGATAGAAAATAAATATTTTAAAATAAAATTTACGGTAAGCTAATTAGGAAAAATAATATTTACGAATTTTACAACGCAATGTTTGTCTGTTAATTCTGTCTTGTGACGATGAACGTCCTGTAACAAAAATTTAAAGAGTGTCAGTTGCTAAAAAAAAAAAGGAAAAAGAAAGCGCACTTTAATAATTAAATAATACCAAATCAATTTTCCATGTGAATAATAGTGGTTCTCCTTCCCATAAACAACCCTTTGTTAGATCTTTATTCAGCTGCGATATCAATGACACTAGAAATGAAGGATATGTATCTGCATGCATCGAAATATCTAACGTAAAATTCGTCATTTTCCTGTAAATAAATATTCATTTAGAGATGTATTCTGTAAAAATGCGCTCTGTAACATTGTAACTGTACGTGTAATTCAGTAGGGAGAAGGAGTATAGAGATAGTGGCCTAAACGCTACTTACTCTTTATCTCTCTCGTCTCTTCCAGGAAGAAAGGAAGGAAGAGAGCCTATGAGATAAGGAGACAAGTAAGTAAAAAATCCAAGGGGGAAACCGCTGACCAAGATCTTATACACCAATGCCCACTAATGTCCAGTGGGGATTACTTATTATCTTATTTTATCTGTATAATGTCCCAGCAAGACCTAATGCCCAAAAATATCCTAGTAATGCCCAGTAATATCGCAAATCTGTATACCACAATGCCCTCAGCGGTTTCCCCCTCGAAAAAATCCTTTTACGGGATACAGGCTCAATTTTCTAAATCAAATTACAACGTAAACGCCTTAATTTTTTTAAAGACTTGGCACAGATGGAGGTAGCCACTTGAATTATCATGTGAATCCGTATACCGTATTTATTCCATCCACGGAGATACACAGGTTTTTTCCCCTTACAATTAGATGGAATCATTGTCGTCAGTGAATTCACGTGTTATAATATCGCACAGCGAGTTTTCTAAATTATCTTTATAAATTTTCAATATGGGGAAGGGGGGGATTATCGTAACAAATGCTATGTACAGCATTTATAAAGATAATTTAGAAAAATCGCTGTGCAATATTATAACACGTGAATTCACTGACGACAATGATTCCATCCAAGTAGACAAAACCTGTGTATGTCCGTTTGTAACGGTGCACAGGACAGGATGGAAGAAATACGGTATACGGATTCACATGATAATTCAAGTGGCCACCTCCGTCTGTGCCAGGTTCTTAAAACAAAAAGTAAGGTGTTTACATTGTAATTTGATTTATATCTTGAAAGGACCGAGCTGAAAATTTAGTCACTTTTTTAACATTAGGCCATATCTAAGTGGAAATTTATTTCACGAAACGCATCATTATTGAGAACACATGATATGTGATGTGTGGGCAAAGTAATCATAATGGGAGGATAACTTATCGTCATACCTTTCTCCAGGATTAGGACGTGCATTATATCTACAGACTAATTGCGGCACCGTAACTTCCGTTCGTGGATAACTCGTGACCAAATATCTAGGGTTGCTTACTACATATTTCTGTTTGGAGTTTACGGTAAACCGAACTGCGTAGCATCCCGTATAGGCATATCGAAACCATACGTCGATACTGTCCTGGAATATAAATTACTGATGCTTAAAATAACTTCCTTTTTAAATAACATGTATATATAGACATTGGCCTAGTTTATACCCTGCGTTTAGGCTATTACCTATAGGTCATGACGGTGTAAACAGCTATGTGATCTGGCCTGGGTCAGGTCTCTTTAGCAATTGCTTTGACCTAACACAGGCCACACGATGCGACGCGTGTAAATGCAGATGGCTTGAGTACCAAAAGTCAAACAACAAATGGCATACAAGTGCCGATGTTCACACGAGGCGGTCAATTCTGTATCTTACAGTACAGTGAAAATGCTAAAAGTGAGCGGCTTTGTCTCTCTAAGGGGACGGCTAGAAAGAGACAAAGCTATTCACTATTAGCATTTTCACTATAGTGTAAAATGCAGAATTGACACAGAGGACTTGATATATATCCGGGCTACCTATGTCTGACTCAAAAGTATTATAGGTTTAAGGCCTGGTTTTTCATCATCTGGTTAACTGTTAACCAGAGATTAGGCGACTCTCTACTTTTTTCTACATTATTATCTAGGAAGAGACAGAGCATCAACTAACTTAATGGTTAACAGCTAACCAGTCAGGTTGTGCGAACAAAACACGGTGCAAACTAGGCCATTGCTTGTATAATTAGCGCCCGATAATATTATTTTACAACATTCTATATAATCATTTTGTATATATTGGATTAGCATCGTTCATTACCTCATAGAGGTATGTCCCCTTGGCCCCAATTTCTACAGATGGATTTTCATACTTGAAAACGCATACGTTAATCTCTGTGCTGTGTATTCTCCAGTCGTCGTATGGATCAAAACTAGTGTTGGAGCATTCTTTTGCATCTTGGATCGAGGGGTTAATTAATAAGGTTATTCCGTACATGCATTCTCTTTTAGGAGGTGGAAACAGAATCTGAAGAAAATCTTGGGCAAAAGACGAAGGTACAATTAATGGACATTAGAGCAAATCTGATAATTGGCGCCGAATCTCGAAGGCTTACCGGGGAGCTCTGGTGCATAGTCGTTTAAATGTATACCATAGATTATATCATCATCAAGAGGAACCTCTTCGGAAGGGCAGTACTGAATGAATGATGAATTAAAAAATCCAACTGTTGTGTTATAATTGTTTTTATCTTCGGGGTATTTCTGTTTATACGTTCTCTGAAAAACAAAATAACGGTGCATATAATATTTTATATATAGCCAATGATATGTAGTTTTTCAAAAAATGATGTACACTGACCAGTGTTTTTATTTAAGCAACAAACGTCGCTTTGGTCCCGGATTTGGACCCTTTTCAAGTAATCTTTTCACACAATTGTTATTGATCTCATATCGTTCGTTTGGCCAATATCATTATGTTAATAAGATATTGGTGAAAAAACGACTGCTCGATCCGACATCTCGTCTAACACACATCTCTCGACATTTTTACTCGTGTCGTACAATTAACGATGCAACTTCAGTTGACTCTGCACTCTTCAACCAAGGAGTGCAATCATTTTCGGACCAATATCTTATTAACATAATGATATTGGCCAAACGAACGATGTGAGATCAATAACAATTGTGTGAAAAGATTACTTGGAAAGGGTCCAAATCGGGGACCGAAACGTCGTTGTTTGTTTTTTAAATAAAAACATTGGCCAGTGTAGGTCATTTTTGAAAAACTACAGGTGTTTATTTATTAAAATTTGTTGTAAAACTCACGTGGCACATTTCTTTATTAACCCAGAATCCATCTGCTTGAATGGTTAGAATTAATAACAGAAGAGAGACTCTGTACATTATTCTTCCTCGAGTTATTAAAAACAACCTTGATCGCTTTTTGAAATGCTACATGCAGTTTCGGTTTGTGGTTAGCGAGCACTATTTTATCTATGTAGACACATTTGATACGACTCTCATTTAAACTAGATTCTTCATTGGACGTGTACATTTATCTGAGGTAATAGCAACGGCAGATTAGGCGTGTGTCTCGTTTATCACCTTTATCGTAACCTTTATCGGAAATATGTTAGTGAACAGTGTGTTAGACGAGACTTTTTTCCCACGCATGCGCGTCAAACGTGCTTTCAGCAAAGTGCCCGTCAGTCTTGAAAATGGATTCATTTGTCATCCGTTAATCGGCTCCGTACAAAGTTTCCTAACATATTTGTAAGCTTTAATTTATTTTTGTTACGTTTTAGGCCCGGTCTACAATGAGTCGTTAGTCGTTAGTCAGAAGTCGCAACTATATGTTGATCCTTTTCCTTTCTGGGTGGAAGAAAAAGGACCGACATACAGTTCCGACTTCTGACTAACGACTAACAACTCATTGTAGACCGGGCCTTATACATTATCTTAATTGTTCGACTGTCCGCGAGTTTTATTACGTCAGTTCTGTAACATTTCAAACTTCAAATCGCAAAAATCGCAAAACTCGAAAAGTGACAAAGTATTAGGAGAACATGATCAGCAAAGAGGTGGCACTATCCAAAATTCCAAGAATTGGATTTCTGAGAATTTCATTCTTCAAAACGCCAAAATCGAGAATCGAGAAAATGGCAAAGTATCAGGAGAACATGATCAGCAAAGAGGTGGCACTATCAAAAATTACGAGAATTGGATTTCCGAGAGTTTCCAACTTTAAATCGCGAAAATCGAGAATCGAGAAAATGGCAAAGTATCAGGAGAACATGGTCAGCAAAGAGGTGGCACTATCAAAAATTTCAAGAACTGGATTTCCGAAAATTTCCAAATTCAAATCGCGAAAATCGAGAATCGAGAAAATGGCAAAGTATCAGGAGAACGTGATCAGCAAAGAGGTGGCACTATCAAAAATTCCAAGAATTGGACTTCAAATCGCGAAAATCGAGAATCGAGAAAACTGGCAAAGTATCAGGAGAACATGATCAGCAAAGAGGTGGCACTATCTAAAATTCCAAGAATTGAATTTCCGAGAATTACCAATTAAATACTCGTGTACTGCAACTTGCGTTTGGCTCTTATTAAGCCTCCGCTACAATGGCCGCGTTCAGCAGACACAACTGTTGAGTGAGCGCTCAATGATTTCTTAACATGATTGGCTGGATCTAAAAGTATTAGCCAATCATGCTGAGCGCTCACTCAACAGTTGTGTCTGCTGAACGCGGCCAATGATTCTCGGTTCTGTCTACAATGGTCGTAGTCGTAAGAATAATCGACTGCGATTGGTCAATTCAGTCAGTCGCATAAGAATTGACCAATCGCAGTCGATTATTCTTACGACTACGACCATTGTAGACAGAACCGAGAATCATTGTAGCGGAGGCTTTAGGCCTCCCTTTTTCTGTACTTGTACTTTGCATTTCAGAGCCTTAAGCCACGTCTACATAGAAGTCGTAAAGTCATAGTCGTAAGAGTAGTCGACTGTGATTGGTCAATTCTTATGTATCTGACGGAATTGACCAATCGCAGTCGATTATTCTTACGACTACGACTTTACGACTTCTATAGCCCGGTTTCACCAACGCGAGTTAATCTAATCGGTCGGTTAACTTAACAGGGTGCCAACAGCCGAACATAAAACTGATACCAAGAAAATAGGTTAATAAAGAAGTTTTATGTTGGCACCCTGTTAAGTTAACTGACCGATTAGATTAACTCGCGTTGGTGAAACCGGGCCTATGTAGACGAGGCTTTATGTGATTTATTCGTCATTAAAGCTCGCTGCAGACGATGCTATTTTTCCTGCTGGATTGCTTGCAATCTAATAAATTACTATCGTTGCACCATTCAGCAATCAGGCTTCCTAGTAATTTAGTAAATCGCAAGCAATCCAGCGGGAAAAATAGCATCGTCTGCAGCGGGCTTAATATAATTCATTTGAAAATCAGCGACAATAGCGTAAACATGGCGGACCAATCAGAGTTTGACTCCTCGTGTCCTATCTCCTGTTTCAGTGTCTCTATGCCTGACGTCTCTAAAATCATCGCTTCTAATCTAAGTGCAATAAGTAGTCATAGCCGCGCGCGAAATTGTCGCGATGGTCGCGATTCTGTCAAGAGAAGACAAGTTGAGGAAGTAGCAGTCGTTGGCACGCGGAAGAAATGGGACGGACGATTTATGCTGAGAAACACCTTCGCACATATCTAGCGTCTCTAGCGAAGCCCGATGGATACGTGATAGGATTGATTTTAGGACAGGTTCGGTTTTTCGGTGTCCAGCCTCGCGGGTGTCGGCCGCATAATGCGCTCTCTCGCTTTTAACATATGCGATAGGCGAACGGAAAACACTCGACGGTTCAGCATGTTTCCAATTACTTCAAATTAACAGAACGCAAATGGCGACTGTTACATATTTATTTTTGTTCTTTTCGATTAACGACATTTGAAGTCGAAGCACCTAAGAATTCAGTTCTACGGTCGCGTGACATTAAATTCTCCAAGGGCCTGCCCAGACAAATTTGCATAGGTGCATGAGCACATGTATAAAGAAATCGATGGTTAATTTCCTTATGGCATTTATGGCACAATCAGATTCCTTGTGCGTACATTTATGTGCTGTGCAAGTTTGTCTGGATAGATCCTTAACGGTAAGACCAGGTCTACAACGAGTTAGAAATCAGAACTGTATGCCGTTCCTTTTCCTTTGTTGGTAGAAAAGGAACATAGTTCTGACTTTTGACTAACAACTCATTCTAGACCGGGCCCAAGTCGTATGTGACATCACTCGACGTCTCTTTGGTATTACAGAGTTCTGGGCAAAAGGACTATATAGTCCATCTAGCGAAGACACCACCTCCTCTCGGCAAGAACGTCGTGGAGGAAACATTAATCGGTTCCACAGCGCCCGCAGAACAGGATGCGGCGAATACATATATAAGATCTGTGAAAGATATACCTATGAGCTGGGTCGCTGATCACGCCAAACATGTACGTTACGGCCGTCTTGACCTAATTACGAAATAGGATTCGATTCCTTCGTTTTATCAACGACTTATTATGAGAATACTCAAGCGAGAAAGATATGGATCTAGAGTAATAAGCTTAAAGTAAGACCCCTAACTAAAACTAAACGACATACGAGAAAACGCCAATGTGGGTCGCAGGGCAAGATGTAGGTGGCCCAACTTGTAATTCTTATATTTAAAAATGTGATTTTATATGACGTTTCTTTCCATGTAGGTCTAGACTTGTTTCAAGTTTGACAAAATAATCAAAGCGATACTTCACCGAGGGTGTGTTCCCATTTGCTCTCAGTACTACTGACGGTATTCCCAATAGTTTCGAGCATTCACTCTCAAAGAAAACGTGTGGATGTTTAGAAAAGAATAACTGCTGTGTTATTATGAAGGATACTCGTGGGTTTCATTTGGTAATGACTTTCTCGGAAGCTGAATTCAGTAATAGCGTCCAGTACTGACAGTAGCACCGAGAGGAAATGGGGAATACACCCTAATTTTGACAATATCCTTTTTACAAAGGTGAAGTTCAATAACATCTTGCGTGTGGCGATACATAAAAACTTTGGCGAGCGATTACAGATCTATCTGTATATAAATAATTTGAAAAGTCAGCAATTGCTTCACCCAATTTAGTGTATCGCGTAAAGATGACAGCACGTATTTTGTTTTATTTACAGGTTACAAGAATGCTGCCTGGTGGAATGTGGGTGCTCGGCATATTTATTGTCGGCCCCGAGGACACTTTAGACAATACCAGCAATGTACAAAAGCTTAAGTCGGTTCTTGGCGCAATTCACAAAACTTTGTCGTGGAATAACAAGTACCTCTGCGGAAATAATCAGGATGAGAAGCTTATATTAAGTTTTAACAGCGTTACCCAAAAGTATGCAGTTGCAAGTTCCACGCTATATTTCGATCAGCTTAGTAATACGATTCTTTCACCTTTAGATGTATCTGCAAGTCGATAGACATTGCCAAGGACAGTATGTTGAAACCAGCCGATTGGAAATTCCAAGAAAAAGCCACCAAGTGGTATCAACTTGAAGCCCTAGTAGATTTCGACAGATTGTATCTCAGTGCCGCGGACAAGGATCCTGATACGCTCAAGAAGCAATTGCAGGTATTAGCAAATGCACAATTTATTCTTCTTGTACGATATGCCACGTTAAAAGTATAAATTTTACAGAACATTTTGACAAACGTGGCAGATTTAATCGAGTCTTCGCTCGTTGTTATCGAGGGAGAGGTCAGATCTCCGGATGACTCCTTGGAAACGCTCGGCAAGGCAAAGAAGAGTAGCAAGGAGTGCAAAAGTAAGACAAACGAGAGCAGTAATTCACTTCAAGTTAGCCTATATACTCCCTGTGTGAGTAGATTTACTTAAGCCTGTATCAGACTACGGATTGAGATTGAGATTATATTGAAACTTGACCAATCGGAGTAAAGCTTACTAATCTCAAGTTTAGCGACTTCTACTCTAATTGGTCAAATTTCAATCCAATCTCAGTCTTAATCCGTAGTCTGATATGGGCTTCAGAGTTTACGAAAAGAGATGTTGAGGAATTAAGTGAAATTTTGTCCATCTTACTAGCAAGATAACGGTAATGTGGATGTAAGAACAACGTCGTGCAGCGCACTGATCCGATTGATTGGACAATTAGTCAGTAGAACGTTTGTACATCAGAAAGCCAGTGTCGCAGAGGCCAATACGGCTGTGAAAGAAGACATAGTGAGATCGCTGGCGAGCAGACTGGAAATGCATTGGGATAGTTTGATAGAGGAGGAAAACGGTTCTCCCGAAGGTATATAATGAACGAGAGACATGTAGTATAAATAGTGAAATGTGATATTTATATTCCGTACCCTTGTAACTTCAGAGAACATCACGTTGCACGAGCCACCGAGACGGGTTTTAATAGCATTACCGGATAATAAAGTCACGTTATCGGATTATCTGTTTCCTGGTGAAGGACCGCAAGAGGCCTTATTGTCGTTGCAGGAACTTCTCGATCTTGAGGTGCACGAAAGCCAGGTTCAAAAAGAAGTCGAGCTACAGGCTGGTAAGTAGAAAAATGTTAGGTATCGTAGCAAGCAACTCGAAGTCGCATACATTTGTCTGATTGCTACCAAATTTATGCAGACCCTACGGAATTCTACTGCCAAAGCGACGTCAATACTAAACAGTTGGACAATAATACCGATACAACCGGAAATTACCAAATGGCCGTTTATCTTGCCGGTTTAAGCGTTGCGTTTATCATATTATTGGTAGCTGTCCTCGTGCACCAACTCATGATTTAATGTATGTATTTGCGTTTTATTCATAGCACACGCGAAATATAGCAGTTTGTTTATATTACTTGTAATATACAGTGTCCATTTTTTAAGTATAGTAATATGTATTTTAAAATTATGTAAATTTTGATGTAAAAATTTTAGATTGTTTAATATACTCGTTTTGAAAGTTGACACAAATTTCTTCAATCCATCCGACATCGTGTCCTTACCGCGAGATGGAACTCACGTAATCACTTTTATATCTAAAAAAAAACTATGACAAAACTTTGAACGTGAAACAAAAATGATGTATGGTTTGCTTATCTCTCACGCGCTGTTCATTTTTATTACATATTTCGAGAAATTACAATAAAACAATGCAAGGTGTCTTTAACTTGTCTTATATTATATATGGATTTTATTATAACATCTACATAATATATATACATATACCATATCATACACATGTACTTTTATATACAAAAGAATAGTAGTCTTAAAATTTGTTAGTCTTCGTAATGGCAATCCTTTATATCTTTAGTATGACAACTGCTCTGTTATTAATGTAGTCTTTAATATTACTCATATATATGAATAATATATCGCATGATAATGCCAAATTAATAACATGCAATTTTGATACAAAATTTGTTAATAAATTAGGCAGTGACGATCCTAATATTTAAATGCTCGCTATCAACTGCATTGCTTTAATAATTTTTGTAAATATTCTGTAAAATTCTCTATGCTAACGTGTATGAAAATTTTATTTACAAAACTTTTTACACTGTACACGACAAATTCCTTCGAAAAGACAATATCTCTAAGGAGTTGTTGAGAAAACGTAACAGAAAACATATCGTAGATCTTACATTTTTCTGCAATAAATATCATTTACTCGTACTGAAAGCAACGTCCCCAATTTGCCCTCTCTTTCACTTTCATACCGTTCAACATACTTATTCCAGTCTCTATAGTGCAACTTTGATTCTCTTTTTCTCATTGAGTATAAGCACGACCGAGTGCCAGAATTATGGTTTGTACACACGTAGCTATCGATTTTTTACACTTATTGTAGTAAAATCATTGAGTTTTTATAATATCGTATGTATACATATAAAATAATGCAAAATGTATACTTCTAACAATTAGAGATGCCATAAATTGGAAAAATAAAGTTTCTTATGTGTGACATAACTTATACATAGAAATTTGCATAAAGGAAATTAAGTAGCATATGAGTTTTTTTTTACATCACTATAATATCGTCTTCAATCTTTATTTTATTTTTTATAGAACCTTGAGTACTGTATAGAATTGTGAGTAATCTAATGTAAATAATAAATTAATTAACACGTTAATAATACTTTCCAAAAATTTTTCTAAAAAACGTCCTAGGCAGATTCTACATTTAACGCAGAATTATTTGGAAAAATGGAATATATCGCCGCGACGCTCTTCCGACATATGATTATTATTGTTCAACGTGAACGTGAACATAATAAATAGTAGTCGTACGAAATTACGATTTAAATATACGTTATTGCAACTCAATTATGCAATTAATTATACAAATTCAATTATCAAAATAATCATATTTGTACTTTAATCATAGCGTGAATTCGGCCATTTCGTTTGTGACTTACTTAATTTTCTAATTTTTAAAATTCCTCGAAATCACTTTTTCTTCCAAGAGAAAAAGCACAACGTTATAAACATCTACCCCGTTGCAATTAATGATAATCGTTAAGTTTGTATTTAATTATCATGACGTGCGTAAACGCTTCTTCATGGAGATGCAAACACGATGCAAATTGCGTTCCTTATTTCGATACGCAACGTTAAAACTGTCCCTCAAACAGAAATTGGATATTCTTAATCGTTACGGCTTGTATAGCCGGAACTTTATACTGCACCCATTTTTATAAGTCCTGACTGGCTTCCTCTACCAACGCTCGCATCTTCCAACGAATCCAAGTCCAAGGCGGACTCTATCATCGTCGTGTCCTGCAATAGTCTAAGTCTGGATGCAGACAAAGGGGTCGTTACAGTTACCGTTGGTATGGAAGATGTATCCAGAGCGGAAGAGACCACGACACTCTGACGAGAAGGCAGCGGTGCGATTTCGTCGATATCAATTGGTGCTATATTGAGAGACGCTAGCGGTATTTCGTTGGTAACAAGTTGACTTATACTGTCCGTGGTACTACCTAAAAGCAAAATTCGTAATGCCAGGTAAGTATATCTCGTTTTGGTGATTCTGCATGGACAACTTGTACAAAAAAAAGAGTGCACATACAGCATTAAAATATAAATAAATTGCTATTAAATCGTGAAGGGGTACAAGCTGTTATGAAACCTCGCTTAGTATCGACAGAAAAGAAATAAAAATTGTATTGTACAATTATTATCAGTAAGGTGCAGCGTTGGCTTTGTGTTTTTCTCACACTCAATGTATCAGCGATGCAAGCTCTATCGTAATTTCAATTAACTCAATAATAATGCACTAATCCTCAGTACACATTCCTACATTCCAGTAAAGTTAACATCTTACATTAAACATAACATTCAAAAACTTTTTTCTCTCGACACTGCTTCCATTTATGCGTGAAGAGACAAAAAAAAGAGAGTATATCAAACCACATTTGTCACATACTTTGGTATTACAAAATATCTTACCGAATTTTGTAAATTTGTAAAGAAAGTATGCTCATATTGGAAAAAACTAGGGCTCGCTAATATACGTTTAAACGGAAACACGTTTATTCGTATAATTAGCTATCCGTTTATTAGAAACGTTTTTCCGAATACACGTGTTTTTACTTAACAAACGTTTAAACGTTTATTCGAAAAACGGAATAAAATCCGAGCCCTAGAAAAAAACTAAATATTACGTTGAATCTTTTTTCCTCGAATAAAGAACAAAAGTGCATTTCATACACGTTTAACAACTTATTTATAGATTATATAAAATATTGCCTATAATATAAAACCAAATTATAAACCGATTAGTCACAAGCCATAAACCCTGTAATTAATTGTATCACTCCAAAATTAGTCTCGTAAAAATGTAGAAGGAACATATCACGTGTGTGGTGATTTATTAATGCTAGTGAAGATATTCAGATCATTCGTATATTAAAACATACACTCAACGTGACGATCAAAATGTATGAAATGAACTTACCGAGTAGTACGCTCTGAGCCCTCGATAACAGGACGTAATTTTAAACAACAGAGAAATACAATTTATTGGATTATGTCCAAAGTTGACTAACTACTAAGAAACTTAGATAAATATACGAATACATTTACATTCTAAATTCAGAATTAAAGAAACAAAAACCATATATTTACATTATGCACTTTTATCGTTTTTATAATAGCGATAAAGTAGTTTATGCAATTGGCATAATTCACGAAAACAAAATACGAAGTAATATCTTGAACCTTGAAGAATATCGAATGTGTAGAAACAATAATATAGATTAGAAGTTCAGTGCTTGTTTATGTAATAAGTAATGTATAAAGTAATAATTAAAAAGAAAATACCAAGAGTCACATCAAGTAAACATAATTGGTATCGTATAGCCTTAACTCACTTATTACCATCATAACTGTAATATATATATTTTTTTTTAAATAAACAACTATGTGTAATGCAAAACGGTACTTTCAAAAAATAAATAGATCTCTTTTTTCAACAATTAAATTCAACTTGTTGGATTTGTATATATAATTTTTTAAAATTCCCAATTAAAGGAATCAAGAACAATTATATAATCATTTATATGTATATACAAATCAGTACATTTTCTCAATGTGAAAGATTTTTGTTTTTTAAGGATAGGACGAATCACGATTCTAATCGTTAAAGCTTTCTAATGAATTGAAGATTTCCTTAGAAAGATTTTCTTAGTAAGAATGTAGTAATAACAATTATTTTATGGTTTCCCTGTTCTACTATAAATGAATTTTATAATTCGAAAATGCGTCATCGGTTGATAACAGATAACGTTAAATGTCCTCAGTGTCACTCAATGAGCTCATGATGAAGCGACGATTCAAGAGATCTTCCTCCGTGCTATCGCTCGGGCATAACGAATTCTCCGCATACGATAAATTAGTTAGTGGTCCGGAACCGAATCTGTTGACCACGAGGCCAATCGCGGTCTGCCCGATAATCGGTATGCCACCCGTGCCTAATATACGCGCCGGCAGAATGTTCTTCGTTATCGGATATTTTAAGCTGTGTTCGGCGCACCTCAAATTGTTATATTTAAGCATATGCGGCGATTGCGCAAGCCGCAACGGATCTTCGGAATAGCACTGGGGAAACTTTTGCAGATCGGTATAACCGTTCTTCTCGCTCATCTTGTAACGCAAGGGGTCCTCGGAGTATCTCTGAGGATATTTCTGAAGGTCAATGTCGTATTTCTGTTCCCCTATGCACTGGTCGTATATGAGATTATTATCCGAGCACATATGATAGTCCTCTCTACACCTATGAGGATACTTGTGCAAACTGTCCTCGCACCTACACGGATACTTCTGAAAGTCCGGATTCAGCCGATCTACCTCGGTATATTTAATATGTTTCACAGAGTCCTGAGAGCAGTGCTGCGCCGGGTACGGCGGCACGTAAGTATCGTTTATGTACTGGCGCGGATATTTTGGTAGGTCCTCGGGGCAACGCGTAGGGTGTCTCAAGAGGGTCAACTCACCGTTTATCGACTCTATTCTTGGTGAATGCTGACCGCTGATCAAATTGTTCATCGAGCCCGTGAGATCCGTGTTAGGGCTCGTCTGAACCGTCGTACCGTTCGACTGTTAAAATGAATAAACATAATTTTTAAAAATGTATATACATTGCTCGCTGAAAAGTATCTATCGCGTTCAATCGCATTGTTAGCGCGGAGCTAGTGAACACATTGTAATTGTAATTACCTGAGGCTGCACAATTTTGGCGGTACCATACGTCTTATTATTAGTAATCACATTATCGTCACTAACTCGTTCGTGTTCCGCGCGATATTCAGGTGTAACTATCCCCCTGCGATCTGAAACGATACGATCCGAGAATGAATTCAATGCACAATTAAAGGCTGACGTCATAGCTATACCCCGAGCTTCTGACTTGCAGATTCGCGTAGATGAATATTATGCAACTTGTGCAAGCGAGAGAGAGAGAGGTGGGAGATCTTACCGATTAAACTAGGTGGAGCTGGTCCACATAACACATAAAAAAAATTCCCGCAGATATTTCCCTGGCTGTAAGGATTGAAATTGTCCTGTCCTCTTCTATTCGTGAACGACCCTTTGATCTGCGGCAACAAAGCAGCGACAACAATTGAGGAAAAATTCCCGACGCGACCACGCGATTCCGTCAAACGTACTTACGTCTTCGTTAGTCGTTTGATTGCTGCTAGTTAGATACGTGTGGAAGCCGGCGAGGCCCAAGATACTCCAAACAGAGAAGAAACACACGACTCCCACGATAACGCTGCTCGGGGATAGTTTTACAGCTTCTAAAAACGGCTTATTATCTTTCGTAACTAAAATCACAACAAGTGGTAAACATGAGACGATTGCGCCTCCAATCTCGTCGCGGTTGTACTCGCGTACACACTCGTTAGTGGTCCGGCGATCAAGATTACTTACGCATAATAATATGTGTGACCGCGCATATAAATATAAAAACGCAAAGGAATGCGAGGGATACTATAAAAGCATAAAAATATCTATAATTTCTTCTGCCCACGCAATTGCCAACCCACGGACAGTGATGATCGAATCTCTCTGCAAGAATAGTTATCTTCTCTTTAGATCCCCGCCTAATATCGGCGATTAAATTAGTATCGTGTTCGAGATTAATTCTGACAAGTGTCTGATAATGCGAGGGAGACGAGCAGAGCGAACACCTCAGATATCGAATTTTGATAAAGTATACATACCTACGCAATTGTCGCATAGGCTACAGTGAGAGGCTCTTGGCGGCCTAAATATCTTGCATGTAAAGCAATATTTCAATTTCACTGGTTGCCCTCTGATCAAGACTTCTTTCGTCCTGGGGGGAGGTCTGTACGTCTTAGAGTTACCGTTGTTCGGTACTTCTACGATCCAGCGTGAAAGGAAGAAGAAAAACAAATTTCATTCGGCGTCGAAAATGGAATAGCCAATTGAAGCCAATTGTAATCGCTACGCGACTGTATTCTAGAATTCATCAATCCGTACCGATTTGTTTCTCGATGTAAGCTGCTTCGTCAGGTGTGGCTCTTGGAATCACTCCAGGATCGCTGAAGCTTGTGCGGAACAAAGCAGACATTACAAATATAAATAGTAAAGCTCCTATTACTGGTATTGCTGGTGTTACGTGTAGTGCCAGGTACGGACAGCTGGAAAAGAAAGAGACCGATTGTCCAGATCTCGAGACGCTAAACGACCGTTCCGTTTGTTCGGCGGAATTTTAAGATTAGGCCGCGGGGGAAACCGCTGACCAAAATCTTGTACACCAATGCCCACTAATGCCCAGTGGGCATTACTTCATCTATATTATCTCCCTTATCTTATCTTTATAACGTCCCAGCAAGGCCTGATGCCCAAACTAGTGCCCAGTAATGCCGCATGTCTGTACACCACAATGCTTTCAGCGGTTTCCCCCTCAGATCGGGCGATGTTAAGACCAGACTACGAATGACGCCCGGATCTCGCGACTACCCTACCCCAGTTCCACCGAGGCTTGTATTTGAAGTCGAACGAAAAGCGCGGCGCATTCGGAATCGAGAAACAATCCGCTTGTTCCGACGACGAAGGCGCACAGCGTTGCTAATAGATTAAGGACGGTATTCATAGTCCAATCTCTTATTTGAGATCGCGCCGCGAGTACGATCGTGTGACGCCATATAATCGTTTCATTGGCCGGATGGAATCTTAAGGCCACCCAGATCCCGAGACGATCTTGAATACAAGCTCGGATTATGTAGACCAATCCTAATCTCACAGAGCGTCCAATGTGCTTCCCATCGCGGCACATGTCGAGTTACCACAGCTGAGAATTGTCCTCGACATCAGATGTAACGCGGCGTTTACTCGGAACCGAAAAACACTCGTTCCGACGATAAGGCACGCAATATGCTAATAGATTAAGGATAGTATTTGTAGTCTAATCTTGTATTTGAGATCGTCTCGAGGGAGAGACCCGTGCTGTATAATCGTTTCGTTGATTGGAAAGAATCTCAACGGTCATCTGCGACCGCGGATGCAAGATTGATCTTGATTTGCACGATCGGGCTGCGAATGCCTCGTCTCAATTTCACAAAGTAGGTTCCGATTAAAGTGCGCAAGTTGCCGGGTCCAGCCTTGAAACGCGATGCGAGCGCAGCTCTTATTCAGAAACCGACGAGGCGGCCCACTCGCTCCGACGCTACAGCGCGCAGCGTAGCGTAAGATTAAGTACGGTATTCGTAGGATCTTGCTCTTTATAGCCGAACTGGCCGCGCCGGTTCAGACTTTAACCGACGGAGATAAGCTCCGAGCCAGCGCAGCCGGTTCAGCCGCGAAGAACAGACCGCTCGTCCGATCCTGCATTCGAGACCTCGGGTACGAGTTTCGTCGGTTCGGTAGAATCTCGGGACCATCCCAGGACCGGGGCCGACACGCTCGAGCTGCGACACCGTCGTCCTAATCTCACAAAAGAAATTGCACACCGGGAATCAACGATGCCTGACCCACGTGCATTTGTGTCAACACGCTTGCACGCTGTGCACGAATGCGGCTCGTACGCACGTGGAAAATGTGCGCGCGTGTGTTTTCCGCACGCGCCTGAACTCACATGGGGGAGGCATCGACGATTCCTAGCGCGTGTACCTCTGATTACATGGGTCAACCAGCTAGGCCCGACGGGGGCGAACGGTAACGAGGGGGGGGTTCGCTTACTCAAAACCGAAGAACAGTCCGCTGGTTCCGACGATGAGGCACACGGTGACGTAGAACACTCCGGTCTGCGGTGCCATCATCACCCTGCCGTCGCAGCAGAAGCGATTCCTGCCCGGGAACAGCTCCCATTTTCGCGTGACGTGCGGCATCTTGCTTCGGGGTGAAGCCCCCCTCACGTACTGCCATATATGAACGCACGGATCCCGGCAACAGGCTGCCGCTGGCTGCTTATCGCGCTGCGATCGTGTCCCGTCGACGTTCCCGCGCGAGGACGTGGGCAGACGTGTCTCATCTCGCCCGCGTCGTCCGGTCGCCGGGCGAGGACGCGGGGGCTGCTGCGGCCGCCGACGACGGCGGCAGCATCCATGTATCGCGCGGACCGACCTCCGTCAGCGACGTGCTATCGGGCACCACCTGCGATCGAGACGCCACGAGGATCGGCTACCCTGTACCTACTTAACCTAAGTCTCTCCCCGAGCACGGTGTCGCCTCCCGAAGCCCCAGGAGTCAGCAGCGTCGCTCTACGCGGGTTCTACCCGCGGGTGCTTCGCGAAGCTCTGTTTATCGGCGCGACGTCGACGTCGTTGTCACCATCATCCTCCTTGTCGTCGTCGTCGTCGTCGTAGTCTCTCGGTGGCCACCGACCCCGACGAAACAAAGGGTCGCCGAGAGGGTCGCGGACACGAAGCAAGTGCCCTCGCTCGCTGGAACTGGGTCAGCGCGGCCACTCGCGGGGTCGTACGCGAGGCGGACGGCCCGCGGACGCTCGCCACGGTCCCGGTCGGCGTTCTCTCTCTCCCCCTTCCTCCCCTCCTCAAACAGTCATCGTCCCCGTCGCCGTCGTTGCGGTCGCGATGTGCCCTCCACGGCCGACGACGATAGCGCGCATTATTTACGGAGCACGCTCGCTCGCTCGCACACGCACGCACGCGCACGTAGACGCACGCGGGGGACACACGACGGGACTCCTCGCTAGCCGTGAAGTACGCCGCGCAGCAACACACACACACACACGCGCGCGCACGCACGACGTGCTCTCTCTCGCCTCTCTCTCGCCGCGGTCTCTCGCTCTCTGCGCGAAAACGCGCGCGCGCGGCGCCCCCGCGCGGCTCGCGCGACAAGCGCCACGTGACTCGGCGCCACGTGACCCGAGCGCGCGGGGCGACCCGAGCGGCCGCGTTTCAAACGCGCTCTCGCCCCTTTCGCGCCCTCGGCCTCGATCATCGATCATCGGAATTTCCGCGCCCGCGAGCCGGCCCGTAACCCTTTCCGCGCGATACCGGCGTTCCTCGCCGAGTCCTAGGATCTACCGTCTCGGGTGAGGAATCGAAGGCCGCAGGTCTTTCTCTCTCTCTCTCTCTCTCGATCGGGAGGACGCGGAAGAGCGCCGAGGGCGACGCTGGACGACGGACGCGGCGCGTGCCCTAACCGCTTCCCCGCGGCAGTGACAGGTAAAGAAAAAAGAAAAAAAAAGGGGGAGGAAGAAAAGACGTTTTCGCGGGTCGCCGCTCTCTCTCGATCGGCGCGGCGTCGCGCGGGATTGATTATTTAATACGGCTGGGGGGGAAGAGGGGGGAGGGGGGAGGGCGGCGAGAGCGCGACTTATCGCCCCCGTTGCAAAATGGGTCGTCGACGCAATGCGGCACGTCATGGCGCACCCGTGCACACACGTGCGCGCGCTCACGCAAAAGTGTGCACGTGAGGAGCGTGCGCGCGCGCGCCACCGGGGAAATCCTGAAAATCGAACAATCCCACGCCACCGGCGCCATCTCACCGTTTTCGACCGCGAAATTTTCGCGAGGCGAGGAGGACGACGCGGCCCGAGGCGATCTATGGATCTTCCCCGGCGCGTCCGGCGTCGCACGTCGGGCGCGCGCGGCCGCGGAGGTGTTGGCCGCGCACAGGAGATGAAGGCCGCATCGCAACCGTTGGAAAAATCCACGGTTGGGAAGTAAACGCGTTAAACTTTGTAAAGGCCTGTGTCCACGATGCTAGAACTTGGTCCAAGTTCTAGTTCCGAGAAACGTGTGGCCAATCAACGTGCAGCTTTTATGGAATAGCTGCACGTTGATTGGCTACAGATTTCTTGATGCTAGAACTTGGGCCAGTTAAGCCTTGTGTCCACGATCCAAGAACTGTGTTCAGGTTCTAGTTCCAAGGAATGTGCAACCAATCAATCTGTATCTTTTATGGAAAAGCTGCAGATTGATTGGCTACGCATTTCTTGGAACTAGAACTTGGACACAGTTCTTGGATCGTGGACACAAGGCTTTACAGTCACTTTAGTTTGGCGACGAGCTGGTAACGGCGTTACATATTTTTCTTTCTGTAACGGTAACGGATTTAGTCACTTTTTCTTAGCAACGATAACGGATATAACAGTTATTTTTATCTTGGCTTTCAAGCTTTCGCGGCAGCCGTCTTCTTCAGTCGTAATGGCTTCCGGATGGTTGTGCCGCGTCCGTTTGCAGCGCGGTGCCGACGTTTCGCAAACATTGCAGTTTGCATCATCAGAACCGGGAGACTCTGATACTCAGACAATCGAGCCTCAAGTTTTGATGCTGTATATGTTATAAGACTTATAAGTTGTAAAACTTGTAAAGCCGTAGGCGCCGGTGCGCAAGTACGCGGTGTACAGGATACAGCGACGATAGCGATAATCTTATCCAAACAATTCTACAATCAAAATCCTATAATAATCCCCGTGGTTGCATTGTAAGAACAAATTTATTTCTCAATTAGTCTCATCTCTTGTCTCGCTTTGGCGTTAAAAGTAACGAAAGAAGGAACGAATCGTGTTACTTTTTAAATTATGGTAACGGTATAACTAGTTACTTTTTTATTCGGCAACGAGTAACGGTAGCTAGTTACTGTTTTTAAATTCTGTAAAGAGTAACGGTAACTACTTAGTTATTTTTAAAAAGTAACTTTCCTACCCTTGGAAAAATCCAGGGGGTCAATTCTGTGCCTTACACCGCAGTGAAAATGCTGAAAGCGAGTAGCCTTGTCTCTTTCTAACTGTCTCCTTAGAAAGAGATGAAGCCGCTCATTTTTAGCATCTTCGCTATATCGCAAGATACAGAATCGATGCCCTGAATCTAGAAATCGGCGTGTCCCATTGAGGGATGATTCGATGTCGAGACGACGTCGATCGACGAGCCATTTCGACCGATCGCTTTCGCTAGGTGGTATCTCAATTCCACGCAATTTCCGGTTTTTCTGTATAAACGCTCGTTCTGGTCCTAAATGAGTGCTTAAGGGGAAGAACCGAGGGCTGCGTAAAAATCGAGGTACGACCTTGCGAAGGAGATCGGCCGACTTCTCCCTGGGACGCTCCTGATTACGGCGGGATCCAAGGGCACACACCGATCGAATTTACGAATTGTACAACTGTTGCGAGTGCAGCTTCTTCCGCCGGACGCAGTACCTGTTGTACTGACGAGGCACTCGGCGGCGTCGGCCTCGCGCCGGGATCTACAGTGCTCGCGCACCGCGCCGTCCGGCGAACTGAAACGCATCCTTCGACGATCGATCCCTCCTGCAATTTGCATCGATCGATCAGCCGCGCGCCGCCCGAGTAGGGCCGAGACCCGAAGCGAGAGGATCGAAGGGATCGTCTCGTCTCGAGCGGCGGGCTCGGAAGTTTGCGAAATTTTCTAGACTCCCCGCGTCTGTTACACCGCGAACCTCCCGCGCGCGAGCGACGGGAGGAGGAGGAGGGGGGGGGGGGGGTAGGAGACGCGATCCCTCGTCT